ATATATATATGGAATTAAAGAAGCATGATTATGGAGCCGAATTGTTTTTTGAGTAAGGTTGACAACACACACACACACCCACATGCACACTGTGTAACAATTGTAAGACATGCTATATAGATATATAACATTTTTGAGTGTACTAGTAATGGGAAAAGGCTCTACAACAAAATGTACTGGCCCATGGCCAAGCTTGAGATTATACATTATTTTACATTCATGTGGGCTTGCGTGAAAGAAAGAGCCAGGGTGGGAGGGGGAAAAGGGTGAGATGAGGGAGAGAGGGGAAGGAGGGGGTTCAGGGATGGTGGGAAGAATGACGATGAAGGAAGGGGTTCAGGGATGGTGGGACGAGTGACGATGAAGGGGGAGGGGGTGGTAGAGAGAGAGCGGTTTTTGGCTACCGTTGGCGCGTGGGCATCACTACTCAATTTTGTTTCATTGCTCCTTTTTTTGCTAATGAGTCTGCTTCCAAATTGGAGCAGGGCTGTTGTCAGGTTCTTTATACATAAGTCATGCAATCACTAGCTTTTGAGGAGATGGGAATAAGTCATGCAATGTTTGGAGTCTGGACATCGCTGGATAGTTCCTCCATTTGCAATTTAGGAATGGGAATAAGTTATGGAACAATCACTAGCTTTTGAGGAGATGTTTTCATGGGATACCTTCACTGCTTGATTTTTGAATGGCCTTGCTATGTACTCTCGATGGGGAACTTTTGTGAATATTGTTCAAACTTATTTGAAAAATGCCTGCATTTAATCTTTCCATCCTAGCTTTGGAATGTCGATATGATTCCTGCGAGAGGTCGACCTTCCATTTCGATTGGGTAATGATGATTCTTGGATTGACCAACTGGGGTTAGAATCAGCCCAAAGATGCCCAATGCCAATGAGCTTTGAATGGTGAGGCTTAATACTCAAAATCAGCCTATATTCTTGGTTGTCCTCTCAGATAACTTTTAGCTTGAGAGGATAGGAGTTCAAAGGACACACCTTCTAGGTAAAATCCTCTAGAAATTTTATTTAGTGGCTAAAAGTTCCTGTGAGGATAAATCACGTGTTATAAATTTTTGAGTTTTCCAGACAATTTTTCATGCCATCTAATAACCTTTTCTGACCTGAGGGCTTTGTAATTTGTTTTAGGTTTTAGAACATTAAAGGCTCTTTGCATTTTCCATGACATTTTTCTCTTACTATAGGCTTATGTCTTGCCTGATGTGATTTGAAGTTTATGGGCTGAGACAAACCAGGTGAAGGAGGTCGATAATAGATATGCATATGTAGGAGTGAGAAAGTGCCAACGTTTATGGTGACTTTCTCATAAGGGAGCCTCATGCTATTGAGGGATGGGCTTTCTAGGATACGATCCTTTCATTCTACAATTCAAAGTTCATAAAACAATGGACCGTGGATGGCTGAAATGAATTTTGATGGGTTCAGAAATAATATATATTGAAGTGAGGATTGGATATTTTTTATTGCAGAAGTCGCTCTTGTCATTGATATCATGTTCTCTGTTTGAGATTTGATATTTGTTGTCATTGATATCATGTTCTCTGTTTGAGATTTGATATTTATCGCACCCCCCACCCCAACCCCACCCCGTACATGGTAGGGGACCCTTAATGTGAGATAGAAAATAGCTATCCTGATACTCTGGAGACATAAGGAAAGACATGAAGTCTTTCTTTCGGAAGCTAAAACTGCTCAAGAACAGTTCATTTCCTGTTTAGAACATTGGCATGAACATCAACCAAGACCCCTGAGTTTCTTCAGAAAATATAAATAAATGGGTAGTGCATCAAAACGCATCTAACACTCAACTATTTAACATTTTACCCATTTTCAACTATTCCAACTCATGATCATGTGTATTTTGATGGTCTTTCTGAAATTAAATCAAAAGATATGCGTAAAATGTTAAACACTGCATCTCTTGGTTGCATTTTGATAGATTTCCCTGAATAAATAAAAACTTTATTGTATTATGCACACACCAAACAATATATGTTGAACAGAAAATTACATTCTGTGAATAGTTCTTTTTGGGTACTACTTTAGATTTCTATTATCTCTTTTTTGTATATGACTGTAATGGGCAGATCTTATGAGTCCCAACTTTCTTTTGTATAGGGACCCTTTTTAGGGTAGCCTAATTGTTTGAGAGGGACCTGGCCTGTGGGTCGCCCCCTCGATTTTTTGCCGAGGAACCAGGCTTGTGGGTTCCCCGATTGACTCTTGTGCTCCTCCCCTCTCCCCTTTCTATACAGCAGTTAACGTTATAAAAAAAAAAGTTTTTTTTTTGGTAATTCAGTGGGGAAGACATGCCCCTACCCGTTTTTTCAAGTAGATTAGGAGTTAGCTTTTTTGAAGGTATTAGTGGGGTGGTGTTAGTGGTGGGAATGGAAACCACAATGTGGTAACTAGGGTGTGGGGTGCTACCACCACAACCCAAGCCCCTTTCCCATTCCGTGAATAGTTGGTTTGGTAAAAAGGCAGCATCCCTGAAATGCTTTATTCTATATGCGAACTTTCGAGAAATTTTAGGAAGCATCACTAAAATGATTTATTCTATAGTGTATTACATCTGGATTCATTTGTTAATTCTGAGTTAGGAAAATTTTTTCATGTTGCAGAATATTATCACGCAGAAAGCTGGTCAATATGTAATAAATGAATATTTGCAAAGGAGGGGTTACGTGGATGTTGATGAAGGTTCCCCTCATGCTTCCAGTTCCAATTTTCATACCTATGTGAAGCCTCCTGTGGATGAACATTCTATATCTGGAACCCGAAGACCTGTGAAACATCCAAAGGAGGGAACTCCACCCACCCAGCCCAATGCAAAAAATCATAGTGCAGCTGCCCCAGTCATGAACACTCAGATCCCCAACATTCCCAAAAAGAAGAAAGGTGGTAAGGTGATTTCACTGGCAGAGGCAGCAAAGGGCTCCATTGTTTTCCAGCAAGGGAAGCCTTGTTCATGCCAAGCTCGTCGACACAATCTTGTTGGCAACTGCTTGTCTTGTGGAAAGATCGTTTGTGAGCAAGAAGGTGAAGGTCCATGCAGCTTTTGTGGTGCACTTGTGCTTCGGGAAGGAAGCACGTATGCTGGTCTAGATGATGCTCCAGTTCCTCTTTCTGAGGCTGAAGTGTTAGCGGAGGCCTTCACGAAAAGGCTTGTGGACTATGACCGTAATTCTGCTGCTCGTACGGCAGTCATTGATGACCAAAGTGACTATTATGAAATTGAAGGGAATAGTTGGCTCTCCGCAGAGGTGTGTGCATGTGTGTGTGGGATTTTTTTTTTTTTGGGGGGGGGGGGGGTAGGAGGGGGAGGGGAGGGGGTGAGAGAATTCATAGTTTCCATTCTTCGTTTTCCAATTGAAAACCTTGCCTAGATGGCTCGGCCCTTCAAACTGATTGGCAGCTGCTACTGTAATTGTGCAATTTCGACTCATTTCTGCAACCCTGGTTTGTCGTAGGACAAGGCACTTTTGCAAAAGAAACAACGAGAGACTGAAGATGCAGAACGTGCACGCCGTAATAAATTAGTGGTGACGTTCGACTTGGTCGGCCGCAAGGTTAGTGATCTTTATATTCCTTCCCCCTGTCCTTCACCGCTTGGCCACTTGATTTCCTTGACTTGATTGTTTCCATTTGTTGGGCTGTATTCTTTCTACTTGGTTGTTACTACTGGCAAACCTGTTTTTTAAGAAATGATTTATAGCTTTATATTACGAATTGTGAGTAAATTTATTGGTAGCTTTTTATATTGCAAATATCGCAATTTGGTTGATTTTATTGGCCTCTGCAATACTGTTGGTTAATCATTTCCAGGTGGTGATGAATGAGAATGAGGCATCAGAATTAGAATCGCAACATTTTATATTACGTCCTGCAATAACACCGGAGGAAAGAGAAGCGAACCGCATAATGCCAAACCCAAGTATAAGGGTTTGCCCAGAATATGTAGACCCCGGGCCTTCTGCTAGAGTAAAACCGAGCACAACGCAGAGGGGCACTCTTTGTTTGGACATAAGTGGGAGGGTGCAGTATGATTATTCCATTAAGTTGCCATCAAGTGATTCATACTCTGCCACAAGCGATGGAGACAACGGCCTGTGACAGAGGCCTGAATAGCATTGACCTTGGCAAAGGAGATAATTGTGAGTGATTGAGTAATTTCATGATTGTCTAGTGGTATTTGGAAATTCCTTTTGACACCGCCACAAAATGTTTGGTACTGCTGCCTTGGGATTTTTCTAGGTCTGAGGATCGAGCGGACAAATGTAATAGAAAATTAGAGGATGTTATCAATGGCACATTTTAGGAAATATGCAAATAAATGAAATCCTCCATTTTGTATCTGTTAGCAACAGTTGGCCATGGCCTTACACATTGGTAAGGCATTAGGAATGAGGAACAATGCAGGGCACAAAGACCGGCATATGGCAAGCTCAGTTTTGGCGAGAGACATTTGAGAGAACTTTCATAGTATCATGAAGAAAATTAAGGGAATGGTAGTGTACATATGCATACACGTGTGTTTGCACAACTAAATAATTTTGGATTTTGCGCGCGCGTGTGCGTGCAGCTTATAGCTATTTGTGTTTATATTGGTCCATGTAAGTCCAAAATATAAAAGAAAAAGTTTATATAAGGATGCAGGTTTAAAAAAGGCATGCCTCAACAATTCCATCAAAAAAGGTGGTTTTGATGGTGAAAAACTACCCAATTGATCGTTTCAACGTCGAGTCGAGATATACACGTCGAGTCGAGATATACAGATGTGAAAAGAAAAAAAAAAAATTTAAAGTATTAAGAAATTAAAGTATAAATTATCTAGACTGTCTATTCTCATGATTGATTTTTATGTGTTTGTAGCTGTGCCTTAATTGATTAAGGTTCACACCTATATACAAATTACGCCCAAATATAAAATGAAAATATTATGGGTGTGGTTTTTATAAAGTTGCAACCTCAAACAATCTAAGGTGCACCTCCAAATTTGATCATAATATGTAATTTTGGTGTAATTTTTTTTTAGGATTATCTTAAAATCTATTTTAATCTTTAATTATAAAATTTAAAACTCTAAAAATGGATAAAATCAAGTAGATTTATAAATAAATGAAAATATTGAAAATGAACGGTTTAAAAACAGCCTTTTCGATAGATTTTTGAGGTGCATTTGTAATTTTATATTTTAAGGTTGCAACTTTATATAAATTATTCTATATATATATATATAATTTAAACTTCACATCTTTTCAAATAACAAAAGTTCAAGATAGTCTATTTTTTTAAAAAAGTTATTTTTGTGGGATAATTTTGTAAATATCCATCAGGGGTAATGATATTTTTGTCATCTCCATCAGGGGTAAAGTTGAAATTTTAACTGAAAGACAAAAGTATTTTACAAATAAAGTTTTAAGATGTTAATTTTTAAAATATCATTGTATTTTTTAAAAAATTTCAATAATAATAATTTTTTAATAAAAATAATAATTATTTTGATAAATACCTACTAACTTGACTCGAGGGTTTGTATTTGGGAGGGGTCGGTAACTCACAAACTAAGCAATAATGGTGTGCATGGCAGTATTAAAGGCCCCCGGTGTCCATTGATTCAAAAGGTTGGTTTAAGTAGTAAGTGGAATCATCCGAAATGCCTGGCTTACTTTATGTGCAAGGGTGATACATGCTAAACATAGCAGTAGCAGTGGCAGTGGCAGGTGTATGATTATATGTGCGTCTATCTAGCTCAGGGAGGTACCAAGGCTTACTGCTCCGCCGTATCCTATACTCCTGAATCATATTTGATGCGTTTACAGAGACAGAGAGGGGAATCAAATTAAATTGAATGTAATGTTTTTGTGGTGGATTATCAAAGCGAAGCGGAGGATGGGGTAGTAAATGTCAAAGGCTAAAGCCTAAAGGGTGAGAAGGACCCGTCGGACCCTTTGTATTTCCCATTTCGAGGCTGCAGGTCTGTGGTCCAGCACTGATAATCCCAACACCCTTTGTCTCATGTTTTTGGTCCTCCCCTCGCCGTACACTCACCCAATCAATTATTATCAAGACGCCCTCTCTAGATTAGAGTGTGGACCACCAAACCCTCTCCTTTCTTTTTCCTTTTCCTTTAACTGTTTAAAATAAATCAATAAAACTAATCTTTAGCTTAACTAATGACTAGCATTAATGTCCAATAGATCAACCCCAACTCCTATCTATCAATTAATTGTAACCCATTTGTAATGATGTTCTCTTCCATAGATTGTGAGTATGGGCCCTATATGTGTATATATATATGTAGAGAGAGAGAGAGAGATGGAGTGGAGTAAAGACAAATGGATTGGATAGGAGAGAGGTAGCAGGAACATATTCTTGTCATATCTTCCTCTTCTTCCTCTTCTTTGCCATGAAAGGCAAGTAAAGCAGGCAGGCAGGCAGGCACAAATGGCTGCTCTGCTGCTGCATTGCCTCTATAAAGTAAGACAAGGAACGGTCCACTCTCCTCTCCTCATGCGGTGCAAATCCAGTATCCTCATAATCAGTGTGCTCTTCTTCCTTGGGGTGGTGGTGGTTTGGGGGCAGGCACAAGCTCAAGCTCAAGCTCAAGCTCCCATGGATTGGACAGAGAAAGAGGCTCTCTACTCACTTATACAGGGACTGTTGGGTGAGGAGTGGAACGGCTCCCACCTTTACCCTGACCCTTGTGGCTGGACTCCCATCCAAGGTGTCTCTTGTGACCTCCTCACCACTCAGCAGCAGCAGCAGCAGCAGCAGCAGCAGCAGCAGCTTTGGTATGTGACCTCCCTCAGCATTGGACCCATCCATGAAAACTCCCTTCGATGCCACCCCACGGCCCCCCACCTGCGTACCCGTGCTCTCTCCCGCCTTGCCCATCTCCGCTCCCTCTCCATCTTCTCTTGCTTCTTCTCTCTCAAACAAAGCTCGCCTCCTCTCGTGCTCCCCACTTCTGCTGCCGACTGGCCACCCAACCTCGAGTTCCTCCAATTCCGTCACAACCCCAGCCTCAATGGCCCCATTCCCGCGGTCCTCGGCTCACTCACGAAGCTCCGGTCTCTTGTTCTCGAGGACAACTACCTCACTGGCCCCATTCCTGCTGGCCTTGGGGACCATCTACCCGCTCTGCAGAGGCTGGTCCTCTCAGGCAATGCACTCACCGGAGCCATCCCCACCTCTCTGTCTCAGTGCAAACAGCTCCTCATCCTTGACCTCAGCTTCAACAACCTGTCTCTCTTAGGGGATCCAACCTCCCTCCCTGGGTCCCTGCTTAAGCTTGATCTGAGCCACAATCTCCTCGACACACCATTGCTGGAATTCAACCTCGGTGTCCTGTCGAGCCTCACCCTGCTTGACATGCGTGGAAACCGCATCACTGGAGGCCTTCCCGCATCGCTCTCTGGGATGCAGTCGGTGAGGGAGATGATGCTGGGCAACAACCCCATTGGGGGCTTGCTCGACATGGTTCCATGGGGGGAGTTCCAGGAGCTCGAGACTCTCGACCTCTCAAATTCAGGCTATACAGGCGACATCCCAGAATCGCTTTTCCGGCTAAAGAAGCTCAGGTTTCTGGGGCTACAGAACAACAGCCTCACTGGTGGAGTGCCAGGGAAGCTCCTAGTAGAGATGCCGAGCATGAGCAGGCTCTATCTCAATGGCAACAACCTCTCCGGGCCTCTTGAATTGCCTGTTGCTTTTTACAAGAGAATGGGTGGAAGCTTTGTGATTTGGGACAACCCCGGCCTCTGTTATTACCCTCCTCCTCTCCCTATTAACAATAACATCCAACTCATTATGCAGCCTCTTGGATTGAAGTGTTGCCCTGTTTCTCCTGCTCAAACATTACCAGATGCTTCTTCTTCTTCCTCCTCTTATGCCTATGGGTTGGGCAATGCTTCATCATCTTCTTCATATGATATGTCAAGTAGTTGTAGTGGTATTACAAGTTTGCTGCAGCAGCTTCAGCTTTTAATGGTGACATCTACTGCTCTGCTAATCTTGTTGGGTGGAACTATGGATATTGTGCGGGCAGGTTGTAGAATATTGTGATCTTTTCCTTTTTGTTTTGAGAGCTTAAACTGTCAGTTGAACCTGAACCCACCTCACCTCCTTCCATATTTTTCTTCTCTATTTTTGCTTAGCTGACATTTTGTGTAACACAACCACACTGCTCTCTGTGCTGGTTGGTTTAGGGGGTTGGAGGGCCAGAACCAGAAAGGAATAGGAAGGAATCTTTACTGTACACTCTACATATACATGCATGAGGAGGAATACACACACTCCCTACTATTAACCAAGGGAAAGAGAATCTACCATTTTGTTTTTGTGGGGTATCATCTATTTATTCTTGTGGTCGGATATTTATTTCTCTTGGTTGATATACTACTACTATATGCTATGTGTAAGGTGTAAGGTGGTCCCTTCACTTTTGCTTTTTATTTTTCTTGTATTCCGGGAATCCATTAAGATAAGATAACGATGAGAGCAGAAAGAGGAAAAGGGGTATGGTTGGTGGAGTGGGGTGGGCCGGCCGGCGATATCTTCAAGGAATGCTAAAAGACGCAGGTAAGGAATAAGGGAGGGAAGCTCGTGGATTGAGGTGAGGTGCCTTTTTAATTGGTTTGGTCTGCAACGCAATTGCATGCAGCACGCGGTTCTGTGGGTGGGGCAGCAGCTGGAGACTAAATTCACACCACCCAACCTCTCTTGCCTGCAATGCCTTTTGGACCACACCCGTCCTGCCCTGCCCAAAACTCAGGCCCTACTCGCCTTATTTGAATCTTCTTTCCTTATCTCTCTCTCTCTCTCTCTCTCTCTCTCTCTCTCTATATATATATAAAAGAAGCCACTGTACAATTTCTATGAGCGCACATAGGCTCGGCACAGTCTGATATTTTCGGACTACATGGATTGAAAGACCGCAACGGATCTATTATGTCCGTTGCGGGCGGAAACCGTCATGGACAACGTGCTGTCTATTGCGGCTCCGTTTAATAAAATGCCATGTCTGTAGCGGGGTGATACACGGTCCAAAATTGCTTATAGGCATTTTTAAGAGTTTTTCATATAGGTCCTGAACAATCAAAATAAGGCTGAGGCCGTAAACAATCAAAATAAGGCGTGCCTTCAAATCATAATCATCATGGATTTTTTTCAATTAATTAGGGTTGGCCATATAGGATCAAAATTCATGATAAATTTTGGTAAAATTTTACGTTAGTTATCTACCTAACACAACTCAATTTCTTTATTTGAGAAGAGAATTAAGAGTTTTTTAACATCGAAACAACCTCTTTTAATGAAATTTTTAGATACGTCTTAATTTGCTTATTAAGGAATTTACGCTTATATATATATTTTTTCTTTTAAACACACACAAATGCTTGTAAATGAATTTTTATAATACTTTGCTCATAGTTTGTCGTTTTGTTTTTATCTTTAGATCTAGACGATCAATTAAAAGATATTTCGTTCGTTATATTTTTGAAGTGCACCTTACTTCTATAATATGAGGTGGCAATCTTACATAAAGCTTTTCTTATATATGTATAAACACGTCAGTCCAGACCCACACTTTTTTAGTTAGCAGTAACACCATATCGAGGCATCCTGACACACTCCCATACCCCTCCACCCACCTTACTTTATGCACAAAAAGGGCGTGGACCACTGGCCTCTATTTTTTACTCTACTTATGCTAAAGTCTAAGCAAGTAAGTCAAAGTCACCCTCCTCACACAAAGGGAGTGGACCACTGCCCTCTATTTTTTACTCTACTTTTGCTGAAGTCTAAACAAGTAAGTCAAAGTCACTTTTAACTTATGTTAAATTAGATTGCAATTAGATTTTTTTTAGTGTTCAACAAAATTCAAAATTTTTTATTTTTTTATATTTTGAGTCAAATCAACGGCAGTCTAATAACTACTCAATTTGAGATTGGAGATGAACAAGAGTGTTTGTGACGTCATTGTACCCAAAAAAAAAAAAATCTCCTTGTATGTTTTTTTATATAATATATATTATTATTTTAATGAGAAATGATCTAATACAACCATTTCTCTAGAAAATCATATTTTTGGCATTTGTATGGCCTTAAATTTTGTACACACATTCTCTTCATCCTCATAATCAATCCTACGAAGAAAAAAATTCAAGATCTAGTGAACTTCAAAGAATAAAAATTTATAATCAATCCTAAATAGGGTCAAAATTAGTACCCATCCAACAATGAATCTCGACCATCCATTTAGTGAACTTCAAGATCTAGGCCTTAACAAATTCAAAATCACTTTTTTTCTTTTTAACATTATTGATGATAACCCTATATAAAAATTTTGGGAATAAAAAGATTCCATCTAAGGCCTATATCTAACCACTTCAATAAAATGGACGGTTTATAGTAATTGGGCTAAATTGAAAATTTTCTAGAGCATTTTTTCAAAATTTTCCTCTTTTGTGATTGTTTTTCAAAATGAAAAGAGTATACATTTAAAATAATGTCTCAAGATTAAATAGAGACCATCTAATTTCTAGAGGGTGAGATCTAAAGGTTAGAAAAGTTAAAATTCAAAAAAAAAAAAAATTTGAGAATAATCATCTAGTTAGGGGTTTTCAAATTTTAATATTGAAAAAATCCTCCCAAATCGATCTTTTAACCAATGGAGTGAATATACACTATGCTTATGTGGAAGTATGACATATACATTCAAATCAAAATGCATCCGTAGGATTATTATTTATAAATAAAACATCAGGAATACAAGCTTCATAACAAGTCATTGTGACATTGCATCCTATTCTTATCTAATTGAAAGGTTCCCTCTTTGCAAAAGAAATTGGAAATTTACTTCCACAGGCTTGTGACAACTTTGAAGGTTCTACGTCACATGGGACTATCTGCTGTACCACCAAATAGTGATGTGAATAAGAGAAACCATTTGTTTTTGCCAATTGCTCCACATACAAGTATAATGGTCAATAAAATTTATTATTTCTCAATACTTAGGTGAATATGGATAAAAGAATGAAAACAGAGTGAAACTAAAATAACAGAAAAGTAGAAATTCTATGGTTGCTTAATTCTATTTTAATTGAATCCTAATAAGCACCTTGGCAATGAATACCATTTCCACTAAATGGGAGTAAATGTGTTTCACTGATTTACGTATGGACCCGAAAACTTTACTTAAAATATAAAATGCTTTGTTTATAGGTGAAAATCACAAGGGAGTTCGGTCAAACTATATTTTTTATTTTTGTCAAAATTACCTTTTGGTTTGAGGATGCCGTATTTTGACTCTTTTTTTTTTTAAATATTATTATAGTAGCGCAGTGCCCCAAGCTTTAGGGGCAGTGCCTAGGTGGTCCGAGGTTAGACCGCTCTCTGGACTCAACATAACTCAGTTCCGGGACGGTCCGATGTCCCTATCCTCAGACCGCTCTTTATTTCTTATTTTTTAAGATAAGCAGCAGTCTAAAGACGGAGATCTCGGACCGCTCAGCATCGGTCTGAGGATTCTAACCTCAGACCGCCTGGGCACTACCCTTAAAGCTTAGCGCACTGCACTACTATAAAAAAATACTAAAAAAAAATGAAGTCAAAATGCTGATCCTTAGATCGAGAGGCAATTTTGAAAAAATAAAAAACATGAGGTCCGACCTTTCTTGTAATTTCTCCTTATAAATAGAGCATTTCCTATTTTAGATAAGATTTTTGGGTCCATACGTAAAACACTCTATGGGCCGGAATATTGGGCGAACAAAAAAATAGCATACCCATGGAATTAGTGTATTGAAGATGAGGATGTTGAGATGGAAGAGTGGCATGACAAGAAGGGATATGATTCGAAAGAATTTAGATGTAGTACCAATAAGCGATAAAATAAGATAGAGTAGATTTAGGTGGGCTGGCCATATGAGGCCCCAACCAAGTATAACACCTGTTAGGAGGTACGAGGGGAAAGATTGGAAAAAGTAAGAAAGTAAACTAAAAAAAGACGTGGTTAGGAGTAGTCCTAAATGATACAGAGACTTATGGCATCATTGAGTATATGACTTTTAATAGAGCAGAATGTTCATGTAACCGATCCCAATAAATTGGAAAAATACTAAAATGAAGATGATAACGAGAGTAGAAAACACTTTTTAAATCAATCTCAATAATGACAATAAACAATCGGACGATGAATTTACCACGAGAGAGATCCTAAGTATGTAAGATGAATGAATGCTTGGGTGTTCCTGAGTGTGGCAGGTGACAAGCCTGCTATGTTACAATGTCTCGTGGCCCTTCCTGTCTGTGTACACGGTTGCATACGCCCCCTAACTCACTCACATGAGCTTGCAAGGAAGGAAAATTTGCCATCCACCACGAACTTCATCAAAGAAAGAAAGAATGAATGAATGGAAAGAAAGAATCGTGAAATTTAGGAGATGCCAAAGCCAGCATTTTCTTGTTGGCGCCACTCGTTATGGTTGCGGCGCGCAGAGATCTGGCGGCGCGAGTGGCCACTGCCACTAGACTCACCATCCTCCCTTATCTCCTCTATCCTCCGCTCCACCTCCCACATGTCCGGCCTATCCTCCGGGTTGGGCTCTGTGCATGCCAAACCAATGTGTAAGACCCTCACCATCTCTCTCGATGACCCCCTCGAACTACTACTGAGGATATCAGGATCAATGACCTCCATAGCCTTGTTCTCAGACACAGCGGAGCTCACCCACCAGGGGAGGTCGGTTCCCCCCTTCCCAGAATTCAAATACTGCGAGGGGAACTTCCCCGTTAGGACCTCCAGAATCACGATGCCAAAGGCCCAGATGTCTGATTTGGGTGATACTTGCCGGAGTTCGATGAATTCTGGGGACCTGTATGCGGCAAGGGCCTGAACTGCGAGATTAGGGTCCGCGAGCGGTGCAAACCCAAAGTCCGTGAGGAGTGGCTCAGCCTCTGAGTCGATGAGGATGTTGGAGGACTTGAGGTGGCCATGGGGGACATCAGAGGAAATGAGCTCTCTGTGGAGGTAAGACATTCCTCGAGCGATCCCTCGGATGATTTTCAGGCGTGTCGGCCAATCCAACGAAGCCTTGCCGGGCCCTCGATCTCCTGTAGCAAAGATTTTCATGGAATCAGCCATTAAGTAGAAAGATTTTTAACAAAGAAAACATTAATTAAGGAAATCATAAGAGGTTTTTTGGAGGACCAGAATTGCCTTTGGTTTTTCAATTCGATGATTCCCATACTAATGATGCTTATTTACCGTGGAGAATGTATAGCAAGCTCCCGTTGCCCACATAGTCGTACACCAAGAGCTTCTCCTCCATCCTGTAGTGATACGCCAGGGGCGCCATGATATTCCGGTGGCGCAGCCGGCCGAGCCGCCGCATCTCTGCCTCAAACCCATCCTGCCCTGCTCCCTCCATCTCCCTCAGCCTCTTCACCACCACCACTTTCCCTGTTCCCATCACGGCCTTGTACGACGATCCGAAACTCCCAGTTCCTAGGATTTCGGCCGCCGCCTTCATCAAATCTGTCATCCTGAATGCCTCCTTCTCTCCGTTGACAAACACGAGAGACGCTCCCCCTCCTGGTGGCGCGGCAGCCCTCGGCTCCGCCTTCCTCTCCTTTCCACCCAATGACTCCATTCCTCTGGGTATATGTCCTGGCTGTCCTTTAGACACCCTTCGAAGAGCTATCACCCCCACCATCACTATCAGCAATGCCAATCCTACGACTACCATCATCGTGCGCTGGTGACCTAAATCACTCGATTCTGCTGCCTCCGACTCCATCTCTGCACAGACTTCATCGAGAGGGCCACCGCACAACTTTACATTTCCGGCAAAGGCTCCCATCCCAAATTTGGCTAGATTGGCAGGTACTTGCCCCTGGAGGAGGTTCTCCGAGACGTTGAAGGACTTGAGGCCCGTCTGGTTCATCGTCGGAATCGTACCGGAAAACTGATTGCCTTCAAGGTGGAGCTCGAGCAAGTGGTTTAGAGATCCAAGAGATGTCGGGATCTCGCCAGAGAACTCGTTCCCGTCGAGCCATACCTTCTTCAGGGAATTCATATTGGAGAAGAAAGCCGTACGAATTTCTCCTGTGAACTGATTCCTCGACAAGTAGAGGGATTTCAAGGCCCCCAGCTTGTCAAAGGCCGGCATAGGCCCCGAGAGCAGGTTCCTCACCAAACTCACACTTCGAAGGCCATGGAGACCGGCAAGGGCAGAAACATCAATTTCCCCAGCAAGGCTAAGGTTACCGAGGCGAATGCCACTGACGATCCCACTGTAGCAGACAACCCCAACCCATGTACCGTTTCGAGAGCAAGGATCGCTGCTATTCGGGGCCCAAGAGCTCAAGGCCCCAAGAGGATCCTCGATAGACTTTTTAAATTTGAGGAGAGCTTCGGCTTCCGACAATGAAAGAGCACCGGAAAACAGTAGGGAGAGGAAAAATAAGCTGGAAATATGTCGGAAAATGCCGTTTTTCTGCCGAAAAAGAAGAGCAGCGGCCATGGTGAAGTGGGGAATAGGGAGGAGAGGGGCCGCTGCTCTTGGTAGAGTTTTTTCTGCATGATTTTGGTGATGGGGTGGTTGAGATGACAAAGAAAAACGGGAAAGAAGGTCAGAATTTCGGTTGACCGGTTCATTAGAATGAGCGGTCACCCGGATAATCAGTGCGATTAAAGTTTTGTAATTCAAATTAGGTGATTATTAAGCTTTTTTTTTTTTTTTTTTTACTGTTGTCAAATTAGTTTAGCTTGGCTCTAAGCCTTCGGAAGCACGTTGGGGTAAATTAGGGGGGAGTTGAAACAGCTCGACACTTGGCTTCTCCTTCTTCTTCTCTTTCTCTTTCTCCTTCTCCTCCTCCCTTTCTTCTCCTCCTATTTCTTCTCCCTCCTCCTCCTTCTAAAGTACACCCACCAAAATAATATATGAGCGGTGTAAAAATAAAAATCCAAAAATTTTATTTTTTAAAATTTTATTTCAGTTTTTTATATCCAAAATCATCTTCGCCTAAATCATTAATTTTTAAAAAATTGAGCAAAAATTTGGGGGAACAAGTGCTCATATGAATCAGCTGACTTACAGAAAACCCATCTGAGATAAAATTGGTTGGCATCCATTTCTCTCAAGTTCAAGATGATAAACTAGAGAGTTTTCTAGCGTCAAAACTTCCATTTTCAATAGATTTCTTTTGTAACATCCATTTTCAATAGATTTCTTATGTGTATCTTATTGTATGAAGTTGATGCCTTCGATTTTTTTTTTCCATCAATATTTATTTTAAAGTGGGATCTTGAAATAGAGATCAACTTTTTCCTTTAACATTAAGGGTGCAATTTGTTCACGGATGCATCCGTAGGTGTAGAGGTAAGATACACCTTCAAATTTTATCATGATGTAAAATGTTATTAGGATTATCTCAAAATCTATTTTTATATTTAATTATAAAAATGATTAAAATGAAGTAGATCTATAAACATATGAAAATCTTAAAAATGGACGGTATAGATAATATGTTGTAAAATATACTATTTATAAGATTTAAAATCTTTTTATTTTTCATAGTCATACATGTCGATGTAGAGATGATCAATCATTAAAACCACCTTTTCCAATGGATTTTTGAAGGGCATTTGTAGTTCTTCATTATAAGGTAGCATCCTCGTATAAAGTTTTTCCTTACTTTAAAGTGGCAACCAAATGCAAGTTCAGGATTCTTTTGTCCAAGGTAGAAGTGTACAGTGTGCTTATGTGAAAACACGCCCATTGTTTTTTATTTTGATTTTAGGGACCATTACCTACCCACATACACTGCAAGGCATCAAATGGAAAATCGGATGCTTGGTTGTATCATGTCCCCCAACAAAGCCTAGTAAAATCTCCTTGGACCTCGAGCACAATCAATAATACACCTTGATCCACCCATGGCTAGGGCCGATCATGACCTTGCATCAAAGGTAAAAGGTAGCGTACACTTAATACTCAAATCTGCTGAGGGACGAGAGAGAGAGAGAGAGAGAGATGGTTTGAGACTGCATGCCAAAGGTCATAAATAAAAACCGCCAAAATCCATAAAATGCAAAGCATGGCTCTTACCGCGGCCAAGACATTGGAAACTGTATATAGCGAAACTCTAACCCAAACCATCTGCTCACAATGTAGTATATCTCAGTGATTCTTGTTTACAACATATTCCATCTTATTGTTTCTTTGCAGAAAAGAGCTGGGTCCAAAAGGCCAAGGCCCCCAAACACTCAAATGAAATCTCTCAGAAGACTAGACTAACAAATTAAGGGATATATGTTACACTCCTTCAACAGAGAAAGAAACAAGAACTGGGGTACAAAGACAAAATTCAAAGAATCACCTCAATCGACATTAGGGGTGAGACCCTTCAAAAACTTCTAACCAATGTTTAGAAAGTCAGTTTTGAGTCGAGGTATACCGACTTGCGTCGGTCAGTTCAGTCAAGAGTTAACGAAAAAGCCTTTTGACCTTTTCAGTTTTCTGATAATAATTGGGGACTAAGCTTTCCTGAGATTTGTGGTATTGTTTCAAGTCAGACACCCCCAAAACCTACTCGAGTTGGGGCACTCGAGTTGAGCGGGCCTGACTTTTGAAACCCTGATCTTATGAGAATACAGATAGTCTCAGCAGAATGATACCTTGTCCAAAACTTTCACCAAACAATCAAAGAAGAGGTCGGCCCTTGCAGGCACAAGTTATTCATCCTTGCTCCACTGCATCAGGGTTTTGCTGGCAAAACTGAAGCTTTCATTGAGAACTGCAACTGGCAACTTGTGCTCATCTTTGAATAATCCAATGGACCGGTGAGCTAATGGCAGCTTTCTGGCGATTGTTTTCTGACAATTCTCCAAGCAAAACGGACATGAAAGCAGCCTTGTTCTTCTTCTATTATTTTTAATGACACAATATATGCACAAAAAAATTTAACCCATGCCCCTAGCAACCTCAGAGGTTCGTTGTCTCATCATCTCCATAACTGCAGCTCTTCGCCGAGACTCAGACTGCTGCTGCAACCTTCTAAGATGCTCCTTCAAATCCCTGAGCAAAGTTTAAACAAGTTTACACTCTTTCTCAAAGCCACTAGCACGTAAAAGAGCACCTGGAGCTAATGTTTTACTACTCGGGCGAGTCGACTAGGACTGACCTGCATAACTCAGGCTTGGCAGGTTGCCTTGCCCAAGTCCCCCCCAAACTCAGGGGCACCTTATAGTGTAAATTTTATACTAAATGACCTAAATAAATTACAAGTGACTTATATTTAGATTTGATTATACTCTTTAGGGATCTATACTTTAAAATGCCTATTTCTACTTTTTTATCTTTTCTCATTTCCTGAGAAAATAACATTTAAATAGTTTTTTTCTTTTTTTTTTCCTTTTTGAAAAAAAATCTCATCTTTATATACATTTTTTATTGTTATCCTGGGCTTGGTTTTTTTCTTTTTTAAGATTTTTCTTATTCTACAATTTTTGTAGCAATTTTCAAGCTCTGCAGACTCGGTGGATAACTCAACCAGTTTGTTGGCCTAGTTCCGTGACATATCTAAGTAAAAAACCTTCCATGGAGCTAAACAAGAATTTCTTCCTTCTTCTTTTATTTTAAGAGAAGAATAGAGGTTTGATTGACCTGCAACGAGGAACATGGCACTGGGACTCTTTGCAAGCACGAGCATGCAATTGAAGGAGATACCACATTTTCTTGCACAGTGGACAACCACCTGAGGCACGGACCTTGCACTGGATCCCGTGACGGAACAGGCCCTTAACCTTGCGACAATTTGGATATTGGCATTGGGGAGAACGGCACTGAGCGGCATGCACCAGAAGGTCCAGCATTCTCCGAAGCTGCAATAGCCACATCACGTGAGAAATGGAGCATGTGCGAACAGCCAAAACTAACAAAATCAGTATGTATAAAACCACCGCTTTATTTCTTTTTGAAGTCTTAATATTTTTTAAAGTTAAAGTGGTGATTTTAAATTCTCCCACATATCAAATCAGTACTTACAAATATTGGGAAATCATGATGCTTTGAACCCTTAGGGTCCTTGTTTGCCACATCAAAATTTATGTGTCATGATTATGATTTGACAAAAGATTACACTCGGCAAAAAATGAATGGCACAATCATGAATTGCAAAGGATGAAACAGTCCTGAGAAGCATGTTAGGTGTATGAAGCAGATGAGAAATAAGTCAAATAACTAATAATATTTCGACCCACCCAATACCCAAGGTTTGAATCCCACTGACCTACCCAAAAGAATAAAAATGTGCAGCCCCAGCCGCAGGCCTCTACACTAAGTCTTCTTTTATTTTTTGGAAAAAACTTCTACACTAAGCCTTCTTAGTTTCTACAATTCAATGACAAGCCAAAAAAAAAAAGACACCAGCTTAAAATAATTGCTACCTGTAAAACACGTTCCTGTCGAGCCTCCTTATTCTGTGCATCACGGTCTGCCGAGGAGGGATGGGCAGTCAACTTATGAGGATGATTTGCACCACCCCCCTTTTCATAACAAGCATTGCATATGTCATAATCAGGACAGACCTCACAACGCCATCCCTGACCAGCCTCAATGTCATGCTGGCAGTTGTTGCACGTTGAAACAAATGCAGGTTCAGTTGGATTATGAAGATGATAGAGGACCATCATCGAGGAATGCTTCGCTCGGCGCAGGGTGTCATGTTGATAATGGTTTCCTTGACAAAGGCTCAAAAATGCTTGCCTGGTGTCAAAGAACTCACTTTCAAGGATCTCATCTTTATCCTTGGTATCTGTAGGTACATCGGTTATCAGAACCTGCATAGGGTTTTTGGTTATCAGAAAATATAGCACAGAAAGATATTCAGGTATACAGACAAACCAGTAAATAATCATTTTGAATATATGACGCATGCACAAAAATGGAAGAATACAATCCAGACACTCACAGGATAAAGAACATGCTTTTCCCTAGTACTGATGGGGTGTCGATACTTATCATCAAGTTTTTCCTCTGCCTCAAAACAGCTGCAACAAAATAAATATCAGAAGTTAAGGACCCATGCAACTGTTACAAAGCAGCAACCCAATCCAAAGCAGTCATCCCACCAGTAGCCCGCATTCAAAAGATGAAAAAACAGATTATACTGATATATGAATTTACTTAAATTACTAAAATGAGACACCTTGAAGTTATAAGTCACCAGTTTACCATCAAAGTAACCAAGTTAACTGTGCAACAGCCACATGAAATTAAGCAATTATTGGATTATGTAGAAAAAGTATTGTGGTACCTATTTACAAGAACAAATGAGACCATACAGAATTGTGCGAACTATCGAGAGATCAAAATTATGAGCCATACTATAACGTTGTGGGAGAGAGTGGTTAAGCAACGACTAAGGCATGAAACGAGTGTATTTGAAAACCAATTCAATTTTATACCAGGGAGGTCAACAACTGAGGCTATTTTCCTACTTAAACAACTTATGAAAAAATTTAGGGCAAAGGAAAAAGACCTCCACATGATCTTTATTGATCTAGAGGAAACTTATAATAGAGTACCTCAATATTTGATTTGGTGGGTGTTGGAAAAGAAAAGAGTCTCCAAAAATCACATCGACTTGGTGAGAGATGTGTACAAGGGAGCGTTATCTAGCGTACAAACAACTAGTGGATAAACGAGTGAGTTTTCAATGACAGCAAGTCTACATCAGGGGTCCACATAAGCCCATACCTCTTTGTCTTAGTTATGGACAACTTAACTAGGCACTTACAATATGAGGTACCGTGGTGCATGTTATTAGCGGACGACATAGTTTTGATCAGTGAAACCCAAAATGGCATCAATACAAAATTAGAACTTTGGAGGAACGCTCTAGAATCTAAAAGTTTTAAAATTAGCCGGACTAAGATAGAGTATATGAAATACAAGTTTAGTAATAATAGGAGTACAGATGAGCAAGTACTTAAGATTGACATCCAAGAAATACCAAAAAGAACGCATTTTCGATATCTTGGGTCAACAATCCAGGAAAATGGATAGATTGAGGAAGCTGTCGTACATAGAATTAGAGTTAGGTGGTTGAAGTGGAGATATGCAACCGGAGTTTTATGTGATTGACACGTACCAATGAAGCTGAAAGTCAAGTTTTGTAGGACAGCCATGAGACCAACTTTGCTTTATGGGGGAAATGTTGGATGGTCAAGAAACAACATGCCCATAAAATGAGTGTAGTTGAGATGAGAATGTTGAGACAAATAAGTGGCAAGACAAGAAGGGATAGATTTCGAAATGACCCATGTAACTGTTACAAAGCAGCAACCCATTCCAAGCAGTCATCCCACCAGCAGCCCGCATTCAAAAGATGAAAAGACAGATTATACAGATATATGTATTTACTTTAGATTACTACAATGAGACGCCTTGAAGTTATCTGTCGCCAGTTTACCACCAAAGTAACCAAATTAACTGTGCAACAGCCACATGAAACTAAGCAATTATTGGATTATGTAGAGATAGCATTGGCAGAAGGAAAATAGTCCAAAGTGCATGCAAGCATTTTCTGTGCACAAATCAAAAGCACACCTTAGCCCCTGAATCAAACCAGACAGATCCCCACAAAAACCCTAATCTGAGAGGAGAAAGGGGAGAGGGAGGGCGGGGGAGAAAAGAAAAGAATCAAACCACCCATGAAAACCATCAAGAATCAAGACTTACCACTGTACTTGAAAGTAGACACGTATACAGTCCAAGTAACCTCACGGAGCCTTGAGAAATAGAAAAACTCAAGAACCAGGGCAAAAAAAAAAAAGAGGGCCAAGATCATGGTCGAGGTGGCAACTGAATGCATTACCAAGATTAACAAGAAAAATAATCTTCACAGGAAGAAGTTCTAGAAAGAGAATGAAAGGCTAAGAGAGAGAGCCTTTATGAAATGGAATTTTTACTGAATTTTTCTGAGTAGGAGATATGGTGGAAGGGGTTTTGAAGTAATGTGAAGAATGATGCATTTTGGAAGAAGAATGATACATTTAAATAGAAAAAAATTCCTTGATATCAATGTTTTTATTATTTATCCTCGTTCTGAGCGATTATCTCCTTCATTAGAGGGGGAAGAAGGACGCGAAGTTTGAAGTGCGAGAAGTAGATAATAAGTTAGTTTTGGAGTGTTCCAAAATTTCAGTGAGTTTCAATAGGGGCTAACCACTAAGGTAGAGAGGCACCCAAACTACCCTCAACCAAAGGTCAATTTGAATGTGGAAGACTAATTTGAATGTCGATTTGCGAGATGGCCATCTACATTTTGAAAAAAGAATGTAAATTCATTTTCTTTTCAAGCCAAAATAAGGGAATTTGCGAAGATTGATAGATGATATCAAGTGCCTTAAGGCTGTGGGGGTAAAGGATTCTAGTCAGGTGGATGTCAATGGGATTCTAGTCAGGTGGAAGTCACAACATTGACAGCATATCTATAGTTGTACCAAGAATTTTCTTTTCCCCAAGTCATTGACAGGGACTCTTGGACATAGCAAAATGGAGATGCAAGATTGCTCCAACTAGGAGTAACTGGACCACATCCTAAATAGTTTGGAGGAGAAGGAATCAGGATCATTAAGCATCCTGGAGGTAAATCAATTGGCAACGAGAACATTGAAAAGGAGATGGTATAGGTGGTTTGAGCACATATATTATGATTAGTAGTTCAAGTTTTGTTTGGACTAAATTTCTGGTTATTTTTTACAAGGCAAACCATGACTTAACAAGCAAGGTAGAGCACAACAAACCAAAAATGATGCCACATTATGACACATGTACTGAAAATTATTTCCACGTGACAATTGAATCAATGAAAAACACAGGTGGAACTTAAAAAAAAACGCTTTCTACTGTAGAAAAGAAAACTATCGCACAGGGAGAACTCTAAGTCCATTAAGAGACCACATCCACAAGAAAAATATAAAAAGGGAAAATGACCAAGTTCCTCCCTGCAAGTTGAGATCCATGCAGACCCAAGCCCCTCAAAATTTAACAGAAAGGACAGACACCCACATCCCTGCCTTTACACATAACCTACTTTCAAAATATCCATTCTCTTCTAAAATTACTAATCAATCCAAATTAAAAAACAAAAGATTCAAACATACTCTCTCCCTCTGTGCCTTCCCATGGCTCTCTCTCTCTAACATCCCCAAACTGTCTCTCTCAATCCCTTCATCCACGTGCTCTCTCTTCCTCATTGAACATTGAATATTGACCCTTTTGTAGAGCAAGAGAGAGAGTTTTGAGGAAGGAGCAGAAGAGAAAAACAATTTGGGAGATTCCAGAGAGAGAGTCATGGCAAGGGTACAGAGAGAGAGAGATTGGGTCTTTCTCTTATTGAATTTGGACTTGGCATTTTTTTTAAAGAAAATGGATATTTAGGGATGAGGCCAAGGTCTTCGGTTCCATTCCTACAAACCATATAACTGCCAACATGGAAAAAAAGAGGGAAGGATATTTAGGTGAATAGGTTATGCCAAAGGAGCGGAACTTCTGAAGTCCGCCATCTCTCTCTCTCTCTCTCTCTCTCTCTCTCTCTACTCTC